ATTCCACAATTCCTAGATCTACTCTGCCTATGACAGATAAGTTTTCTCTACCAAAAAGCTACTTATCAAACAACACTCTAAAACTCTATACAGCACTTACCAAATTTTAACATTCAATCAAAAAAATACTATTTACTGAAATGGAGGGAGATTGGGGGACCGGAACGGACTTCACTGGGACGCTGATTCTTGAATATTTTGAATGATTGGACAAAACTGGGGGACTTCTGGGAAAAGAAACCCACTGGAGTTTAGCTTGGAAAATCTTGTAATCAAACAAAATTATTGATATTTGGCATGGTGGTGTATTGTAGGACATATAGATGGCAAAGATGCAAATCAGATACTTTGACTCCGCAATTTTACCCTTTTTCAAGTCTATTGAAACTCGACGATTGGCAAAAAAGACTATAGAAATGGATTGAAAAGAACTAAAAGAATGATCAAGCTATATAATGGCATAAATGAAACCGAAGTAAAAAAGCTTCTCATTCAAAGCGACCACAATCGTTGACACAATCACTTTATGTACATCTAGGGAAGTGATTGTACCGATACAATTCAATTGAAATCAAACGTGCTGGAAACTCCGTGATCATCCACGTGGCTCAATGACAAGGATTGAAATTTCTCCGACGACATGTGGTAATACAACCCGTTGATATCACCCGGCTTGGAACCACCAACAGGGGTTCCAGTAGTAGTCCCAGTCCCAGAAACGTCATTTCTAGCGCGGCTTTTTTTGTGGTTCGATGCGTCTGCACTACTTCTTTCCCCATTTATATCTGCATCTAATGCACTCTCATCCATGATCTGGTTGCTGCCAATGTTCAAAACAATGTAATAAAACCCTTCAAATGACGCATTGGGTATTTGCTTCACTCTGGAGTCGGGAAGTAAGAATTCCTCCTTCCACCTCATATATACGTATTGATTATGATATTCGTCATTTCCGCATTGACCTTGATAAATACCGGCCAACTTGTTCATAAACTCTTTGTTTTGTGCATGGTTTGTGGATCTTGAAGATGATGAATATGGTGGGATTGTGTTGGTGGAAGAAGCATATGGACATGTTGAGTATTGGAGTGAATGTAGAGTTGGAAACGTTGGTACTGTTGCTGGTGAGGCTGGTGATTGAGTAAGCCTTTTCCAGTGATCCAAATCGTTTTCAACAGATGATCCCCAATTCTTGTTTTCAGCCATAAATGAAAACCTCTTGTACTCATCGTCATATACAGTGTTGGAAGATGATGACTCATTAGACCTATGACTTTGTTGTTGATGCTGAGAATAAAGAGGGTTGTTGATAATTTCTCCTCTAAAGTATGTCACAATTTCTTGATGATCTTTGGTTAATCCATTAATTTGTAAGAAACCAGTGACCAACGAGTTTTTCATATCCACAGTTTTGAATTCCACCTTGATTCTAAACTTTGATTTACCCGATTGTTGTTCTCCAATGAACAGAGCATTAGGTTGAAGATAGGGGTTGTGAAATGAAGATGGGGGGTATTGCTGCTGCTGGTGGTAGTTGTGGTGGTTTGTATGCAGATGGGAAAGTGTTTTGAATACACGTCTATTACTTTCAAAATGGTCCAAGCTGAATTTTTGTTTCAGTCTTAAGGCTGCCATGTTTTTGAGATAAGGGTGTTGTGGCTGTTTTGAGAGTGGATAGTTGGAGGTTAGAGGAAATGCTGACGTGGTGCTTTCTCTTGATTTGTTCTTTGTAGTAGGACTATGGTGATACTCAGTAATGTTCTGCGTGGTGTCCATGGAAACGCTTCTTGAGGAAAGTGCGGGCCGTTTGATTTGCGAATCATGGATATTGTCATGATAGGTGTCAACATTGTTGTAATTGAAGCTGCTGAGGTGTGGGACCGCATTTTGCAAAGTTGGATTACTATTATGCGCAAGATTGTCTGCCTCGTCGCGGTTCAACTCATGTTGGTCAAGTAGTTGCATAACTTCATCTTCGTCACTACGGCAATCGCTTTTCTTGTTGGTCTCGATTTGTTGTTGTATCTGCTGTAATTTGAGTAGTTGTTGGCGATGTTGATCTTGTTGCTGCCGTTGCTGCCGTTGCTGCTGCTCCAATAGTTGCAGTTGATGCAGTTGATGCAGTTGATGTAATTGGTGGATTGCCTCCAGTTGCTCTTGTTGATTAGTTGAAGTTGGCGATTGTGGTGATGAAGATGTGAAAGTAGATGTGGCAGCAGAAGCGGCAGTAGCGGCAGCAGAAGCAGCAGAAGCAGCAGAAGCAGAAGAAGTAGCAGTAGTGGCAGAGGCAGCACTAGCAGAAGCGGGTGTAGACGGTGCTGCTACAGACTCATCTTGTTGTGGTATAGTAGGGTGATTAGTAGGCATACTGATTAAAGTGTAGATGTTCTAGTTGATAGGAATGTAGTTGAGAAGTATAGGTGTGGGTTAGTTGAGTTGAGTTGAGTTGAGTTGAGTTGGTAATCTTTGGTTCTAAAATTGCTTTTCTCTTTTCTGGGATGAGACAAAGACTGGCGTGTATGACACACAGTGTTATCTCTGAAATAATTTTCTCTCTAAAAGAAATATAGATAGATAGGAGGGACGAGAAGGAGAATTTGTTATCAAACCAATTTGTGTAGGGGTTATTGAGATGATGACAAAGGTGTATATATGTATGAGTTGGTGGTGGTGTTCTGGAGGAAAGGGAGGAAAGAAATACTTCTGTTGATAAAGTGTTTAATCTATTTGAAAGTTGATAGTGATGGATGGCTAATATATAAAGGTAAGTAGTAGTATATATTATGTATGTATGTATGTATAGTAGTAGTAGTACTCTACACACACACATACACACATACACACACACACGCACACAAAATAATCTTAAACTATATACNACAAAATAATCTTAAACTATATACACAGTAAACACACAAGAACTTAACCCTTCGCCCAAAAAAAAAAACAAAAAAAACACATACACAATCTCTTGAGCTTCTCCGTTTTACGGAGATGCAACAAACATTACTATGTGCAAATACTTTATTGCACAAACACTCCATCCCTTCAACTATATTTTTGCACAGACTAAGTAACGGCCCTCCTTCGTCAAGTGTAGCTTCATTCTATGACTCGTTGTTGGTGCTCGCTTACATTTATTTTTAATGGTGCTCTTTTCCATCCTACATAACCACTAATTACCTAATCGAGACAGAAAAGCCGCATACTCAGAGGCTGCAGTATGTTTTTTTTTTTTTTTTCTCTTAGTCACAGCAAATATCTAAGCGAATAGCAAATGTGTGACATCAGACACTTTTAAACTATATATGTATATATATATATATTACAGTTATGCTGCGACCACAATCACCTCCTAGTCCAGTTCATCCTGCACCCAATGAAGAGATAAGACCTGATAGTCTACCGACAACACAATTGCAAAATGATGACTTGGATTTGAATCCTGACTTGTATGATGATGAAAAGGAGGAAGATGATAACAGACTTGATGCCCCTGCCATGAATGAGCAACCAATTGACAAAGTTTCAAATGCAAATCATATTCAACTGCAAGTCCAACAAGAACAAGCTGATTACAACATCTTAGTAACTGACTTATCTAGTCTGGATAATGGGGAGTTTAATGCAGCTGATTTGCAAAATATACGACAACTTACATTACCATTTGACGAGGAGTATCAATTATTCAAGGCAAATATACTCAATTCAAACACACAAACCCGTGAAAGTTCAATTTCACATAATGGTAATGGCCCTACTCACAAGTTATCTTCAAAACAACAGTCCAGGTTTATAAATTATATCGACGAGCAGTTGCTACAGATACAACGCAAATTTATCAAACAGCAATCGACTGAGACTATTATTTATCCATTTGTTTTGTTGATACAGGATTTGGATTCTATATTTGATATTATCTGGGTATCTATACTCAACAGTATAGAACAACAACAACAACAACTTACTCATGCATCTTTATTTGGACAGCAAGAATACTATATCAAGATATTAGGAGATTTAGAAGACTTCATTACTCACTATCCCACGATATTCAATGAATCTTGGCAATTATCGCCACAAAACAAGATGGTAATGACTATCGACTTTAATCAAACGGTTGTAACAATTGTTAAGTTCTTTATCAAGTTGGATTTACAATTGAGTTTTATTAGAGATGAAAATTGGTTCAATCAAACTCAAGGAGTACGATTAAAGGTGATTATTGAGCGTTTGAGAATTCAAATATTGAACAAATTTGAACATTTGATTACGCAACGAGCATCAACTACGTCAACTTCAACATCGACATCATCGGGAGTACAATTGAGGGAAGTGTTGGAAGTCGAAGCTAGTAAGATTTTTGAAGGGATATTGGAGAGATTAAGCTAGCAGAGAACGCTAATGGGAAAGAAAATGAGTAAAGTAGGACTAAGTAAAAAGGACAGGTATTGTACTTGTATCAATTTGTAAATGTATAAAGTTTGCAATAGTTGAACTACTCTTTTGATGGTTCTTGAAGTTATTAAAGCAAAGAAATATCTTCCCAAACTAGTCAGAGAAGACAAACGCACATGTGCATGTTTCAACTGCGACTTTGATACAGAGTTTAGAGTGGTAAGAGCAAGAAGGGGGAGGGGCGCCAGAGAGATCAAAAACTACACCACCAAGGGCTCCACGGTTACTTGTATAATAAACAAAA